TTTTTCCTACTCTTTTTTTTTTGTTAGGATAAGAAAAATATCAGTCGTGCACTCATTGTAAGTCATTTTTATCATTGTGTTATTATCGAGTCTAATGATTAGATAAGTTTAGACTTAGTTTTCATACATGGCTAAGATAAAAATATAATAAAAAAGAGTGAAAAAAAAATTTGATAAAATTCACTAATAATCTATCCTCTTAATCAGGATATCAATTAAGTACAAAAAAATTTTGAATGATAACTTAGATGCTACTTTTAAACATATATTTTCTATGTCTGTTCAACCTTGTATATTCGAAAAATACAAAAACAAAATCAAAATGAGTTCGAAACTTATCAAATACCACAGATATATATAATTGAAACTGATTAATGATAACTAACTATTTTTCTCTAAATAATAAATAGAAAGATGAAAGACAGACATTATCAGTAACGTTCAATTGCTGCACATGTATCTGTATTGCTCATGTCAAAGTAAAAGATTTCGATGAAAGCACCAAAAATTTCAAGACTGACTCGTGTTCAACTACTCGTTTAGGTTGCCGATTTAGCACCTGTATTAACGCCTCATTGACTATACGAAAAACAAAATGCAATAAATTGCAAACAAAAATATGTCAAACTATGCATAAATAAACATAAAAAGGCTACAATGAAAAAATCGATTGCTACTAAAGTGAAAGAGAAAAAATGATACAGCTATACATAGAATACATAATTGCATGGATGATTCACCTAAACGAATGAATAAAGTTAATATAAATAATACGTAGATGAATAAAATAGAAATGAAGAGAAAAAACTTGAAAAAATATAAATTTCAACATGTACGTTAACAGATTGAGTCATTAAAATAAACTTTTATAAACTCAAAATATTCTCTGAGGATGATAATGTAACAATATTCTAAAGAGATAACGACTAATGATACTTTAAAGAACACTGTGAACTGAGATCGGACTAGTAAAACTCCAAAAAACACATTTTTTTAAAAATTTCAATTTCTCCATTATAAAATTTATATTTGAATTTTCCTCTTTGATAAGGACATGCTATCTTTGAGTAGATTATAAAGCTGTCATACGATGCATTGTATAGAAAACTTAACAAATCATATGATTGGTTGGAAATATCTACTAATGCAAAATATATGAAATTAATTGCACTATAGAAAGGGAGAAAGAATAAAATGAAATATTCTCAGCTTTGACGCATCATCTATTTATTCGTCTATCTCTGAACGAAATCAACGGATGCAAAGATGAAACACAAAGATCTCTCCATCACGACGATAAATATCAAAGTATTTTAACATTGACAAAGAAGACAAACAGAACCTTATACTTCAATCGATTTTATTTAGCCAGCATGGTTTATTCATTTGCGAGATGATTAAAAAAATATAGTTCATTTTTTCTTGGATCACTGTTCGACTTGTTTTTTTCTGCTAATAATGTGGAACTTCAATATATTCAATCCTGCATTAGTTTTTATGCTACTTTTTCATTATAGAGTTGTAACGGCAAACTGAAAGAGTAGCTTACCACCATCCTCGGTAATGATGTTTATTGAGCTATTTCACATACAATACATGCCTACATATCAGAGAGAAAGAGATCAACACAAGAAAGAACAATAGAGATAAGATAAAGAGGAAAATGGAAGGAAAGATCAGCAGGATATGATATCGATTTCGAAACAATAATCTTCACGTTGAAATGAAAATACAATAATGAGCCTTATTTCAAATTCGCTTGTTGATCATGAACATGCGTAAAAGAAACCACTGACTAGGTTGTTTATTTCTAAGTGCGATCTCTTTTCTTTCATCTTTCTTTCTCAATCGTCTTACTAGGATGTCTGAGCAAGACGATTGAGAAAAAGATATAAAAGAAAAGAGATCACGCTTAGTAACAAACAAGTTAGTCTGTGGTCATTCTTTTAGGCGTCTTCGTGGCCAAAAAGCGAATTCGGAATCAGGCATGTTGCTGTACTATAGAGATATTCATGTGATTCAGATCGAACAAAAACGATCGGTAGATCGTTCGGTATCATGCGCGTTATACCGGCAGTATTCACCGCTAGTGCCAAATTGCTGCCGGTATACTAGCAATCAACCGGCGATAATTTGATACTTAAACGATCAGCTATCTATTGACTCTTTTCATATTCTTTCGATGAATACTTTACCTATCTTTAATCTGATACAGAAAAAAAGCGAAAAAATCATCAAACTGCATATAATAAATAAAACAAATTAAAAAAAAAGAACATGTATTGTTTATTTTTTTGCTTCTTTCAATTCATTGACCATTGATTCAGATAATTTAAACTTTTGTACTTTTCCTGTTGGTGTCATAATAAATTTATCAACAAATCGAATATGTTTTGGAATTTTAAAAAATGCTAATTTATCAGCAAGAAATTTTGTAATATCATCTGTTTGACATGAAGGTGCATCTGATTTTAGTTTAATCCATGCACATACTTCTTCACCATGACGTTCATCAGGAATAGAAAAAACTTGTGCTTCAGCAACACTTGGATGTTCAGTTATTGCATTTTCAACTTCAATTGGATAAATATTAATACCACCACGAATAATCATTTCTTTTTGACGTCCAACAAAATAAAGATAACCATCTTCATCCATAGTTGCTTGATCACCTGTTCGAAGCCATCCTGATGATGTTAATGCTTCTTTTGTTTTCTCTGGATCGCCATAATATCCAATCATAATTGGATAACCTCTTGCCCAAATTTCTCCTTGTTGTCCAATAGGTAGAGAATTTCCTTCTCGATCAGCAACTTTAATTTCTAAACGTTGCATACATCGTCCAAGAGATCCTAGACGACGTTTTGGATCTTCATCACCAGCCCACATACCACTTGTAAGTATTGCAGAATTTTCTGTCATTCCATAGCCTTGAGCAACACGTGTAATTGGAAATTCTTTTTCTAACTGACATAAAAAATCAATATGTATAGGGCTGGCACCAAGTATAGCAAAGATTAATGAACTTAAATCATATTTTTTTTCGATCTGGATGTGTTAAAATATCTCGAAAGATAATTGGTGCACCAATAAGTGCTGTACATTTTTCTTCATGTATAGTTTTCAATGTTGAAACTGTATCAGGTAAAATAGCTGGAACAACAATTTTACATTTTGCTACTGCAACATTAAGTATACCGACAACTTCTGCAAAAATATGAAAGAATGGAATAGGGACACAAAGACGAGTAAAGTAAGATCCAAGATGTTCCCATTGAGCATGAACTAAATTGAGCACACCAAAGTTGGTTAATGTTGCTGCTTTTGGTTGACCTGTTGTACCTGATGTATAAAATATTGTAACAGGTGAATCAGGATTAACAGATGCTTGTCGTTCATTTAATTTTTTATGTGATAATTTTGTACCACGTTCAATTAAATCATCATATAAACGAACTCCAGATATAGATGATTGTTTACCAGTTAGAATAACATGTTTTAATGTTGGTAATGTTTTTGATGAAAGTTCTCGAGATATTGAATGTTGATCAAGTTCTGGTACAAGTCGACGAAATAATGATAATGATTCAATGATTTTAACTGTTGGTGAAAGTATAATACCTTTACATCCAACTTTGTTTATACAATATTCAAGTTCACGTCCAACATAAGCTGGATTTATATTAACCTACAATAATAATTATCATAAAGAATATTTGAAAATAAAATCAAACTTTACTTTGATAAGACCTAATTTGGATGCAGCAAATGACATTGCAACATTTTCTGATGTATTTGGCAACCAAACAGCAAATCGATCACCTTTTTCAAAGCCTAATTCCATAAGAGATGCAGCTAAACTATCAACTTCATTTTTGAATGATTTAAATGTATATCGTTTTTGTTCACCTAAAAAACTTTATCTTATAAATATGAAGTTTGATAATTATTTGATTGATATACTTTTAAAAACATAACATTCATGATCAGGATATTTCGTAGCTGTTTCATCAAAACTTTGACTTATTGTTTTATACACAAATGGAAGTGATGAAACATGATGAAAATAACTTGAAGTTAATTTTGTTGATGGTGTTGTTGAATTATGTCGTTTTTTGAATTGAAATATAATCCAAGTTGTTTGTGGACGTGTAATGAAACCTTTTGTGGTACTAATAAACATGTTTCTATCGAATATAAAGTAAAAACCCAGATATACGTTTCTACTGATAAGATAAAACTGGCTACTGTCAGCTATCTACTTTTCTCTTTGTTGCTATCGTTATTACTGTCTTTTTTATTTATTCAGGCGTAGAAAAAAATGTAGAAGAATGAGAACGATGAAGACATGGTAAAGTTTGGAATTGGAAGATCACATGATTAAGATCGAGAATATTACAACGTAAAGTAGTGGACAAAATTTTAAGACACTTCAATATTTTCGCATTTTCTAACCAAGAGATTTTTCTAGGTTTCGAAGAAAGTCACAGCAGCCAAGGCAAAATTTTATGCTACATCATTTGGTTAATAAATTTTCAGTCTATTATCAAACCACCGTCAGCTAGTAGAAAAATACAATCATCAAGTGAAAGCCGTTTTTTAACAATCAAGATTAGATAGAATCGAAATACTAACTATATTGTTAGAATCGAGTATAGGTTTTCACTTGGCTTATAACTACAACCACAGCCTTACTGATAGTGACAATTAGAGCCATAGCCAAACTTACACACACACTGACACGAATAACAATAGTTACATCTTGCATTCGAGTTGTAACCGATGACGATAACAACCGTTTCAATCTGGTAAAGGATTCTTTACCAGCTGATAGGAATTTCTTTCAGAGTTTTTGCATGTTTTTTTGAAAAATTGAGCATAAAAATGTTTTTCTTTCGTAAATCGAACACTTTTTATAAATGTCGAAGACTGTTTCTCTGAGGAAAGATGTGCCAGATTATTCTGTTTAGTCAAAATTCATCATAATATACTTATCACATTGTGTTAACTCAGTTTCATATCAAGTTATATTATTAAAACAAGTTGTACAGATCTGAGAAAGAATAAGATGAATATAATAAGAGAAACAGATTAAAAAGATTATTTGATAGATTTTGAATCATGTTGATTTTTTATTTTTGTATTTTTCTAATATATAAAATTGGATAGACATAGAAAAAATAAATTTGTAACATTTGAATTATCATCGAAAATTTACTATACTCAATTGACATCATTATTTAAAGAGTGCATTATTAGAAAACATGCCAAAATATATTTTTATCAAATTTTTTTTTCCTACTCTTTTTTTTTTGTTAGGATAAGAAAAATATCAGTCGTGCACTCATTGTAAGTCATTTTTATCATTGTGTTATTATCGAGTCTAATGATTAGATAAGTTTAGACTTAGTTTTCATACATGGCTAAGATAAAAATATAATAAAAAAGAGTGAAAAAAAAATTTGATAAAATTCACTAATAATCTATCCTCTTAATCAGGATATCAATTAAGTACAAAAAAATTTTGAATGATAACTTAGATGCTACTTTTAAACATATATTTTCTATGTCTGTTCAACCTTGTATATTCGAAAAATACAAAAACAAAATCAAAATGAGTTCGAAACTTATCAAATACCACAGATATATATAATTGAAACTGATTAATGATAACTAACTATTTTTCTCTAAATAATAAATAGAAAGATGAAAGACAGACATTATCAGTAACGTTCAATTGCTGCACATGTATCTGTATTGCTCATGTCAAAGTAAAAGATTTCGATGAAAGCACCAAAAATTTCAAGACTGACTCGTGTTCAACTACTCGTTTAGGTTGCCGATTTAGCACCTGTATTAACGCCTCATTGACTATACGAAAAACAAAATGCAATAAATTGCAAACAAAAATATGTCAAACTATGCATAAATAAACATAAAAAGGCTACAATGAAAAAATCGATTGCTACTAAAGTGAAAGAGAAAAAATGATACAGCTATACATAGAATACATAATTGCATGGATGATTCACCTAAACGAATGAATAAAGTTAATATAAATAATACGTAGATGAATAAAATAGAAATGAAGAGAAAAAACTTGAAAAAATATAAATTTCAACATGTACGTTAACAGATTGAGTCATTAAAATAAACTTTTATAAACTCAAAATATTCTCTGAGGATGATAATGTAACAATATTCTAAAGAGATAACGACTAATGATACTTTAAAGAACACTGTGAACTGAGATCGGACTAGTAAAACTCCAAAAAACACATTTTTTTAAAAATTTCAATTTCTCCATTATAAAATTTATATTTGAATTTTCCTCTTTGATAAGGACATGCTATCTTTGAGTAGATTATAAAGCTGTCATACGATGCATTGTATAGAAAACTTAACAAATCATATGATTGGTTGGAAATATCTACTAATGCAAAATATATGAAATTAATTGCACTATAGAAAGGGAGAAAGAATAAAATGAAATATTCTCAGCTTTGACGCATCATCTATTTATTCGTCTATCTCTGAACGAAATCAACGGATGCAAAGATGAAACACAAAGATCTCTCCATCACGACGATAAATATCAAAGTATTTTAACATTGACAAAGAAGACAAACAGAACCTTATACTTCAATCGATTTTATTTAGCCAGCATGGTTTATTCATTTGCGAGATGATTAAAAAAATATAGTTCATTTTTTCTTGGATCACTGTTCGACTTGTTTTTTTCTGCTAATAATGT